GCGGCTGTTATCGACGGAGCTTGGCTGGGGTTTGACGGTGGGGCACGGCCGGTCAGTTTGGTACCGGTGTCACTGTCGGTGGTGGCCGAAATTGGTGGTTGCACCAATCGGGAGAGAGAGGTTTGTGAAATCGCACGGGAGGGAGAGAGAGAGAGAGAGAAAGAGAGAAAATGAAATAAAAATCTGATTTTTTGTTTTTCAAATACCCTTTTTGAGTTATTTACGGTTTTGCCACCGAAGGAAATTTCATCGCCAAAACCTCGTCATAACTCCGATTCAAGCCTACCGCCTGTCCACGAATTCATCTCAGAACCACCTACGCAACCAAACCACTTGTGGTCCCAAAATCCTTCCGGACAAGAAAATGACCGAAATACCCTACCCCCGAGGGTAGTTTCGTAATTTCACATTTTAATTTAGTTTTTCCATTCGCATTGGAAATTAAACAGAGTCGGGGTGTTACAATCCGATCCTCCCCCAGTGCACCGACCTATCTCAGAAACCCTAATCCTCTCGGAAACAAAATTATCCTTAATCGTATTCTATTCTCACGCTAGGGTTTTATTCATCATTATAATTATCATTTCCGATTCTCTTGGTTACGTCAAACCCTAGCTATATATGCAGTGATGAAGCACACGAAGAAAAGAAGGAAAAAGAAGAGCTCGGTAGATCCGAAGCCAGTCGCCAAAGAAGACAAAGGCCAGAAGGTAATCCGAGCGTTTACAGAGGTCTTCTCCTCGGTTTCACTCGACGACGTCATTTCTGCGTATCGCGAAGTCAATGGTGACCCGAACAAAGCTGCAGAGATTTTGGGGTAAGCTGTGGCTGAAAGTTCTGAAGAGCCGTTCAGGAGTTCCACAACAAGTGGTGTTTCTGGATGAGATGCGGGTTTAAGTTGGGGCTCGAACTCGGGTTTGGGTTCATTAAAAGGGTTAGAGTCAAGTTGTATTCAAAATTTGGTGAGAGAGAAGGGTTTTAGGGGTAAGCTGAATATGATATGTTGTATGATGTTGCATAACCTAAAAGTTTATTTTTGCAAGTCAGTGTGGGTATCATGTTGAAAAGGTACTAAGAGCATTGGGAGTCAAAGCTTATCATTTTTTCTCTCTCTTCTAAGGGCTTGCATATGTTGGTATGAAGATGAGTTAGTTGTGGCTAGCGTGTATAGAGTTTGTATCATGTTTCACTGAGTGCTTAAGAAGGGGAGAGAATGAGATAGTGAGTCGGGGAGGGGCGGATATGTGGGTGGGGTTTTCAAGTTTTGAGCAGAGAGAGTGAGGGAGATAGGAGGAGAGAGAGAGAGAGAGAGAGAGAGAGAGAGAGGGGAATATATTCTTTTTTCTGTTTTTAAAAATCTAATTTAATAATATTTTTAAAGAGTTTTTTTATTTTATTTTTCCGAAATTGCCTTTCGTCTCGTCTCTTTCTAACTACTATTTGGTTATGAGGTGGGTCCCAAGATTGCCACGTCAGCAGTTAATGTCTGACTTTGACGGTCAATGTAATGGCTGGTGTAAATTGGTAATATTATGAAATGTTGGGTACGAAATTGATTAAAATGAAACTTTGGGGCCCATTTCGATACTGACACTAAACCTCCAGGGACTAAAGTGTAGTTAATCCTTTAATTTAATTCATGACAATAAAAATCCACATATTATACCAGTTATTCAGGCAAGCACTCACATGAAACTATGTACCTAACATACAGGTAAAGAGTGTTATTATTAGCAATGGAAAAAACTTAGTGATAAATCGTGTTAGCTATAAGTTAGGAACATAAATTAAAAGACTACCTATAAGTGAGGAACATAAATAAGAAGACCACCTGTAATTTAGATACAAAAATAGACAAATAAAAATTGTATGCTACCTATTAAAAAAAATGGTTCATAAAATACTATTATATGTTGTCGAAAATATGAAAAAATACATATATGCCTATGAAATAGGCAATAGAACAATATACCTACACCATATGATAATATATCTACAAGAGTATGTAATATACATCTACCATAGGGTGAACAAAATTAAAATTTGTTACCAATAAGTCATGTGCTAAACGATGTGCTACTGTTGCTTCCCCAAAAACATGTAAAATAAAGGCTCGAGCAAATTGAGCCAAAATAGACATGCAGTCATCCACCAAGCACCCTGCTGTGCCAAATGAATTTCAAGAGACTTTCCGTATCTTACATCAAAATTGACATCAAAATGAAATGGACTTTAGAAAAACACACAAGCCCCATTTACAATATAACGAAGAGACTTTGAACTTTCTATAATTTATAAAAGTACCATCAATTTTCTTAAAACAAGTACAACCTCAAAACTTCACCCAAAAAAACCCAAAACCCTCAAAACAAAAACATAAAACCAAAAATTAGTATATTAAGTAAACTCAAACTCGAAAATAGGACAGTAGTAGAGTTTTTTTATAGTTTATTTATACAAATTAAATGGTATAGTGCTAATTTATAATACTAGCTCAGAATAAGTATATAACTAAATTTCTCAATAAACTTTAGAGAATAAGGTTATCCAAAATAACATGTAGACATAAAAGTGTTGGGGGTGGGAGGGAGAGACCTTGGCTAAGGTAGTACATTCTATTTAACACCCTGAAAAAAAAAAAAAAAAAAAAAAAAAAAAAAAAAAAAAGACGAAAAGGCTACCACTTTCTTTATACTCCAACGAAAACCAGAGTCTACAGCCTATCAAGAGACAAGATAGTACATGAATTCTTGTCCTTCTCTACTGCTTCAGGCGATAATTTATGGCGTGGATTTTCCACTATGTCAAAGTAGGAAATGAAATGACATTCGTTTCTGGATGCCATCATTCTTTTGCATGCTGCTCCTCCACCCAATTTCAGTTATCTTCTGTGGATTCACACCGTCTAGTGTACCTGGAACTGGCACGTACAAAAATTTCTTGTTGTGTGGGGCCTCTTCTTTTACTGTTTTGTTTATTTCAAACGAATTTGAAAGCATACTCCAAGGACTCCAGTCCTTTCAATTAATGAAGCCAGAGACAAATCCATGATTTGGAAACATGGTGGACTTAATTTACGTACGTTCTAAAAAAAATATCTTATGTAAACCTATTAAGAATAGAAATAATTCGATGTAAGGCTGTTTAAAAATTGTAGTCCTACAATATAATGAGTTCCAAAATGTGTTTTTCTACCCCAAAATAAACCTATAAACTACACCCATATGTAAGATCGTGAAGAAAAAAAATTCAAACAAATTACATTCATTAATCTCATTCATTGCCTTGTGCACAGACATAGCATGACTTCTTGGTTTTTTGACACAGCTTTCACATGTTTTGGTTGATCATCTAAATTTCTCAAGAAAAGTTGTTGTGCATATAATTGAGACAAGTTATTAAGTGTTCGATGTTTACTTGATGATTTATCAAATACTTTCATTATTCATATTGAATTCATTTGCATGTTCGGTGACTCAGACGGTTGAGTGCACCAAAACCGTGGTGGCAATTTGTCTTCGGCAAGCTTGAAGCATTCATGACCAGTATTGCGTTCAACATAAGGAGTGTCGGAAAATCATCCCATTACAAAATTTGAGTTACAAAAAAGTCGGTAAACATTATCTAGAATGTATCTAGGATAAGTGTGTGAGTCGTACTTCTTATAATCATCGTTCTATAGTGGATTTGTTTTGGACTGAGGAGTCCCGTGGATTTTCCCCAGAGGTTGGGTTTTACCACGTAAAATAATTCTCTGCGTGTTCCTTTATTTTATGCTCAACACGTTTCAGGATTAATAAGTCATATCAATCTTGCTACCGAAGTTTATTTTTATTTATTGATTATAATTTTGAATTGGCCTATTCACCCCTTTTATGGCATTATTAGTCATCTTACAGGTAATTTCACTATCTCTCATTGTAAATGATTATTACTTTCTCTCATTGTAAATGATCTAAATAATCACCATTGAATGGTGTAACTACTCAAAAACAAAATAAATCATTAAATGGCTTGAAAACAAAACAAACATCCAACATCAATGGCAAACAAGTACGAAGCTTTAATTATTTAGATATGCCCAAAGTAACATGAAATTAAGAATACATGGTCCAAATCTTAAAAACGAATCTTCATGTTCAACCCACGCTGCTAACGTAGAATTGACACACACACATTCCATCTCCAGTATTATTTCATGCAAACAAACAATAACAAGGTGAACCTTTTGAACAGAATCTGGCTGGGACGCCATTGAGAAGAGGCAAACTCTTTGCAGGTTCTTCATGGGCCAAACTGGGTGCAGCAAAACAATCTAACAAGACAAGAGCATAGTTCATAACCAAATCAAATTTCAAACTTTTGGAAGCATTTTTTTATTTTATTTTTATTTTTGCTGTTGAAAAATAAGTAGAAAAGCAATGTAAGGATACATAGAAGACTCACCTGCCGTGGTGCTATCTATGTATAGGACAGGCTTTCATAAGACGTACTTCCAGACGATGTTGTGTAATAATTGTGGATTTTGGGAATGTGTTGCACCTTTGGACGATCCACACCTCCTTCTCGTATGGAGTCTACAAGTTGCGTTGGAAGATACACCAATTCCAATGTGTTTAGATTAAGAAGGTACTCAATACCCAGTGGCAATGTCTTCAATTCAATGCAGCTATTAAGAAATAGAGACTTGAGATTTGGCATAACCCCTTTTTCTATAGTGATCTTACTCAAAAAGAGGAGATTAGACAAAACTAAACGTGTAAGCTTTGGAAAGCCTCCACCGAAGTACAGCTCCTTCCCAATGTAGGCATTAAAAAGGTCAAGACTTGCCAAACATGGCAATGCTTCAATTTGAGGTAGTAGCTCATCGTTTTCAAGTTTAGCCCAATGCAGATGGAGATGTGTGAGGCTTTGTAGTGAACAAAACCAAACTGGTGCTTTGTGCAGTTTCCCAGCTAAAGAAACAATTTCAAGATGCGGAGGAGGTGAAGATAGCTTGTCGACCTTAAGAAATTCATCTGCATTCGTTGCCGTCAAACTCAAGTTGCGAAGCTGCTTCATCTTTTGAATCGAGTCACATAGGTCCATTTCGTCACTTCCTTTCACATTCGTAATGCCAAGCTGTCTAAGCTGGGTCATACTTCCAACGAGTCCTGCAATGTTTCCGTCTGATTCAAATTTTTCCAACACCTGCAATTTCTTCAACTCACTAATATTTGATGGTACTCGTGTCCCCTTGAGGTATTTAAATCCAACGTCGTCCCAAGTGTGATGGTACATAAGTAGATGGCGCAGGTTTAACAACTTGGAAACTCCTCTTGGAAGTGCTTCTATTTTGGTGTGTGATATGTCCAAGGTTTCAAGGTTTCCAAGTCTTCCTATAAATTTTGGAAGCTCCTTAATTGAAGTTCCCCTCAAATTTAAATACCTCAAGTTAAATAAATACACTAATCCACTTGGGAGCTTATCAATGGGGACTTTCTCCAAATCTAGAACCTTCAACAATTTAGATCTAGAAGGCAGTGAAAATGTGCTAGTGACAAAGAAAAGAAAAGAACGGAGCTCTGACAAACCTTTTATTGAGCTAATTTCTCCTTCAGTTGTTTGAATTGACAAACGACGTGCTGTAACCTTTCTCATTTCTCTCCCAACGTAGTTTGCAGCAAAATTTTCTTTTTGTGACATGGATAGAGCAAGCTCGCGCAAAATGTCGTGCATTTTATATGCTAGGGCCTTTCCCATGTCAGTCCGATCTTCAACTTTTAGCATGCTACGACGAATAAGTTCTATAAGATAGTTCTCTGCAACTTCTTCCGGTGTGAGCCCGTCAACTTGCTCAACAAATCCTTCAGCCAACCACAATCTAATGAGCCTTTCTCCATCGATCAAATAGTCTTCTGGGAAAAGGGAACAGTACATGAAACAATGCTTCAATTGATATGGCAAATCATCGAAACTAAGCAACAAGATGGTCCTCATAGGTTTTAGCAAAGGGTTGTTTGTTAGCTGCCAATTCAAGCTGTTGTACACTTTGCTCCACTCTGTAGGGGACCCCTTGGAAGACAGAACACCACTTAAGGCCACGATTGCAAGAGGCAAGCCTTCACACTTTTCCACAAGTTCCGAAGCTAATGATTCAAACTCTGGTGGACAGCATTGCTCATGATAAGTTGAGAATGCTTTCTTGTTAAAGAGCTCCCAAGCCTCATCCTTTTCCAGGAGTTCAATTCGATAAACATGGCTTTCTACTCCATAAGGATACAATGCAATTTCTTGATTTCGAGTTGTAAGCAAGATCCGGTTTCCAAGAGCTCTTCTATCTGGAAGCGACCCAAAGTTTGATATCCCACACATCATCTAGTACAACAAGGTACCTTTTAGCATCCAAGTAGTTGCGAAGCATCTCTACCAGTTCTGTATGTTCAAGAGAACTTATGCTTGGAGGGACCTCTTCCTTTCTTGATCGGTGAAATTCCTTGATCAAGCTTCTAAATAAGTCTTCAATCACGTAGGTTTGGGAAACAGTTATCCATGCATAACAGTCGAAATATCTCTTTATAGTTTCATCGGTGAAGGTCTTGGCAACTAGAGTGGTCTTCCCTGATCCTCCCATACCGACCACGGACACAACCATTTGGTGTCGTTCTTCACTCATCAGCCTTTCCATCAATGTTTGCTTCTTTCTTTCAATCCCCACGAGCTCATCTTCCTTAATGAAAAGAGAAGACTGATCCGCTTGGTTCTTCACCCATTTGTGATTATCATTAGACGAACTGCTTAGGGAACCAACACCATATCTTTGATTCCTCTCTGGAATGGCTTTGATCGTTCTTGTGATTTTCTGTAACTCAATGGCGACTTGACGCCTATACCAAAGAATCTTTGGAAGGTGAATGGGTTTCTGGAGCCACCTCGCGAATCTACCCTGACTTTGCTGCTCATACATGTCATACATGAATTTGTCAATGATAACTTCAGCTTTAAAGGCCAAGTTTCTCACCATTGTAACCCACGTTTTCTCTCCTTCCGTGTGTGGTTCCTTGCCCTCAGCATCTTTCAGGAAGGATTTCATGTATAGAAGCTCCTGTTTAATCTCATCAACTTGATCACCAACACCGGCTATGGCGGATGCTTCATTCTCGAGGATGCCTACAATTTTGCCAATCAAGAGATCTGTTGTAGCTGAAGCCATATTTGGCCTTCTATCCTCACTTCTTTTGCACTCTTCTAATGCGTTGGTAGATTTTTTTTCTCTGAGTTCTTTCAATAACACACTCTTTTTAATATTACTCCCAAGGTACTGATTCTATTCTAGCGTTCTCCCTCCATCTTCGTCTGCTTTTTCGTGCTTTAGTTCCTTTAGCTTGTGTTCGATTCCCGCCTCATGCGTTGTGACTCTGGTGTTTTCCTTGAGTGGGAACAGGGGAGACTTTATATTATTCTATTTCAAGTGGTATTAGGGAGGACATCGGATGCAAAGATAGATCGATGCTATATGCTCCTAAAAATTTCAGACCAATAATGTATTAGAATTTACCAACAGTGTTAAAGTAGGGTTTCAAGGCATCTTGAGGAGACCATTCCATTCCATTCCATTATGAAAGAACTGCTGCTGATATATATATAGGAGAAAGTATTAGAAATTAGAAAGTCAGTTTGAGATTGTTCCAAGGAGAGATTTTATCAAGGATTAGGATTTTGGAACAATTTGACATGCGGCACTAACAAAACAAGGATCTGATTTGCATGCATTATGTGAACTCCTGGCAGACAAATTTGAGCAATTTGATCGGGTAACTAACTAAATGAAAAGGGAAAAGAAGAACATCCAAAGGAATGAAATTGCTTTTTTTCTAGGTCATTTGGACGTGGGAGCTATAAGTTTTACCCTCCCATTATAATAATTTTTTTAAATCAAAATCCTCAACTCAGAAAAGTATACTTTTATTAAATGAAATATACCAACCAAGATGATTAAGTGAAAAAATATATATATTTTAAAAAACTACAAATAATGGAAAAGTTTTGTAAGTGCCTATAGCAGAAAATTACACTGAAAAAACATATAGAAGCTTTATTTTACATACATATATATATATATATATCATTTGGACTCAAACAAAGACCCTGGGAACAGAATCTACAGGCATGCAGTCGGTCTCCCTGAGCTCAGTCTTCAACCCTTTCCCTCCTCCATTAGCCAAAGGATGCACCCCAAGCTTCGGCCCCGCCATGTACGCTCGCTTCTCTCTCTCCTCATCGAAGCTCACCCCGTACCTCATCTGAACATCTATCGCAAGCTCCGGCCGCAGTTGACCGTCCCTGGTCAACGCCAACATAACCTGCGGAATCCCAAGCGGCAACTCATCCCCCTTATCCACTTGCCAAAAATGAATCGTCTTCCCATACGTCTTGCACACCTTGTCCAGGTCCTGCCTCTGGATGGGGCCTGGTAGCCCCGGCATAAAGAGAACGCCGCTCTTCACCTCGTACTCATGCGAGTGCCAGAGCAGCTTCTCGTTGTCGGGGAGGGTGAGGAAGAGGAGCTCTGAGATGATGTACTCGAGGCCGATGAGTTTTGCATTGGCCTTGGGGCTGTCGTAGATGAGGCACTGGCGCATCTCTTCGTTTTGGTGGGCGCAGAAGTGGTGGGCTTCCAGTTGACGGGTCATGTCGTGGGAGTACAAGTGGAAGGCGCAGAGGTGCTGGTGGATGCTGTTGATGGGGCTGAAGCCTTGGGCTGTGGCCGTTGCGGTCTCGAGGATGGCCATGCCCGTCGGAGTTGGCTCACCGGGGACTCGTGCGTGAGTTGTCGCCATTTTTTGAAGTTTTGATGGAGAATGGTTTCCTTTGGTTTGGTGTTAATCGGTGACAAAGGAACACTAGCAGACTGATTTTATAGCAATTGTTTTTTGCTAAGCCAAGACAGATGGCGCAAGAAAGGATGTGATTTGCATGCAAAGGTGAAGTCGTGGAAAGAGTTTGAGCTATTTCGTTTGACCAGCTGGCTGAATGAAAGTCTTAGCACCAAAATAGAAAAATAAATTTGGAAAAAAAAAATAGAAAAAATAATAATAAATATTGCAAGTTATTTAAAGTGTAATTTGGACAACGGAGGAGGCACTTGTCAATGCTCAGCATAAGACACGTGGAGATGGTGATTCCTCCACCAACAAAAGCTAATCAAGGCTGGAACAGTGACTAGCATATTATTATCGTGGATTTAATTATACAATTTAAGATTAATAATAAGAATAAAAATCAAAACATTTCCTATTCAATTTGCCAAAAGTTAAATAATTACAGGGCAGTGATTTTTCTTTTTTTCTTTTTTTTTCTTTTTTTTTTTGGTTCTTTTTCAAAGTTTGAAATATCTTGTGTAGAATTCATGGGCAGACTGAGACTCGTCACCTAATCCGATTAGGCTAATCGATATCTTTTACAGCATCCTGCACCAGAAGCACAAAGAAAATCTATTCAATACGGGTAAAAATATTTGCCTTCTCAAACCAAACAATGAGAAGCTTTTGGCAATGCCATGTTTCTTATCAGACCAAAAAATATGGAACAAATAATGAAAATGCTTGTCAATTTGGGGAGTACCTTTGCTAATCGTGTAACATAAGCAGCAGCCAACGCTGTGGCTAACAGTCCAAACCCTAGTGTCAGTAGCTGACCATTTCCTCCAGGCAAACCAAGATCAGATTCTTCTTGCTGAAACATCACCCAGGAAAATATTAACAAATGAATCGAAATGAAACTCCAGTAACCCGATGGAAAACCGATTAATTTCCTTAATTAAAGAACCTTAGTATAAGGAATCACAAATTCTCAAGCGTATAATCCAATGTGTCTCACAAATAAATCGAGCTAGCATCTCGCCAGACCAAATTTTGATCCTCGGTGAGTCATAAATTTATGATAAAAGAGAAGCACCAGTCTACAACTAATCTGAGGACTTAACACAATGAAGTTAATAACTGTAAGAAATTCCTATCGGCTTCAAGATTATTAGCTGCTTTGGCTTGTAAAGTGTCTTTTCTTACAAGACCCCTAAGAATTAATCCTGACTTCACCCAAAGCTGTCAAATGAACCCCCAAAAGACAGATAAAAATATATAAATTATCTCTACTCTAAATCAATTTGACAGTTGCTAAAATTCTCTGAATATTCAATTTATAAGTTCCGGCATCACAAAGATTGCAAACAAGTGTAACTAACATGATACGATGCCCAATGGTAACTGTATGAAAAGCATATGCGTTAATAGTAATACATATATGTAGAGCCCAGTGTTGCAGATGCCAGCATGAAAAGCACCAATGCATCTGGATGTTATTTGACAACTTTCATTTTCCCAGACTTATAACTATATCAACCACATAATATAGAGGTTGATACCTGACTTAGATCTGGCTGGGAACCATTTACTCTATCATATAAAGTAAGAACCTCCTAAGATTTTCACTCAATCACTCTTTATACAAAAGTACTACATACAGAATGAGAGTTCGATTTAAATGCAGTTGCCCAGTAAAAATTAACCAGCCACGTCCTAACATAAAATCTGTCTCCGCATGTGTAGGACTAGATTTGTCTACATTTGTATTACACTGGTCGCCTTCACTGATGGTTATTATTGGTGGTCCAAGTCACATACATTACTCCTATATATTCCTCACTGAGCTACTTTATATTAACTCATTGCAACATGTTAAGCTGACAAACAAAGACCCCAAGTCATAGACCTTACAGACAGGAAACATATCTCACAAGGTACAAAGACGTTAAGAAAATATCCCACTGGATTCGCTTTCTTATAACATAATGATGTGTAATAAGTCAATAACTTGTTCTATAGTTGTCATTTCATACTATTGTCGCTTTAAAGAAACTATTTTTATAATGGACTCTTATCATGGAAGAATAAGCATAGCAATATATCATCAAAAGAGATGATAGTTGACATTAATTAGCAATGATTTCTCTTTTCTGCTGTTTTGTTTTGATCTGATCAATGTCAATATCAAATTGAATGTATCCTGTTTTTGCAGTATGGTAAGTATAAATCATTTGCTTCATACTCATTCACACACCCCCATCCCCTACTGACGGAGAGAGAGAAAGTAGTATTAAGGGAAAAAAATAATAATAATTGTAATATAATATATATATATATACACACACACACATAGAACCACCACAACAGAACAGGAGAAACAGAGAGAAACTCACAATTATGGCTCGCCCAAATGCACCAGCGCTCACGTAAGCCCATGTTCCAGGAAGCATCCCCAACCAACTGCAAGTCAAGTATTGATTGACTTAGAACCAGAGTGAAACATGTTACAATATTACGTACACAAGTTTAAAGTAGTTCATGATATAAAGATCAACTACTTCTGAAGGTAAACTACCAGACATGAGTCATGACCATCATACTCTCCGTCCTTTGTTACAATTCTTTTTCCCATGGGCCAGTGCAATCATGCTCAACTTATCAACTTTTATTTGATATTTTAGCCCTACATCTTCTATATGAGACACCTAACGGTACACTTAATAATCTTTACATAATTGAAATGGAGCAAAAATATTTACATCATGAGAATCAGTGGAAACTGCAACTGAAAATAGCAAGAAAACAATTCATTTCCCTTTAACTTTCAGTTCTATTACTTCAAACTGACAACATGCATTGTCATATGTCGGGACTCTTCAATCTAAAAGGGATAAAAAAGTAGATGGAAAAAATGAAGACCTTGAACTAGCTGATATATTGGCCCTAATCACATACTTAACGACGGGGTTAAGCTTGGGCTAAAATACTTGTCTCATTTATCATGCCAAGAGCCTAACAAATTGACCTGAGCTCGAACAGGTCCTAAATCCGGCTCAATCCATTTGATAGCCTTAACTCTCAATAGCAGCCAATAAGAACAACCAACTTGTGAAGTAGGAACTTTAACTAAGAGAACAAGAAGTAGGGCAGCAAACCTTCCCAACACGTATGGAACAAACTTTACAGATGTCAATCCGTATAAATAGTTCCCCAAAGAAAAAGGAAGCAAAGGGCTCAAGCGAAGGAGAGTGACCACTCTAAATCCGTTTTCTCCAATAGCCTTATCAATTGCAAGAAATTTTTTGTTTCCCTCAACCATTTTAAGAATGCGCTCACGAGCAAAATATCTAGCAATGAGAAAAGCAACACTAG